TGATGGAAGTATTTCAGATTGCATGTGAAAACCCTACACTGTACCCCAGAAGTGCATTAATGTACATAGTTACCATTCAATAAAAAAAAAAATTTAAAAAAAAAAAAGGTAGGAGGAAGGAAACTGAGAGATCAGAGAGGCCAAAGAGAGTTTCAAGGAGCATGGTTGGTAGTGTGTTAATACTATGGAGACGAGAACTCACCACACACTGGATTTAGGGATGTGGAAGTAGCGGTCATAGATATTAATAACAAGAGCAACTGTAGTGGAATGAGGGGTGAAGAAATGGAGACTATCAGAGTTTGCATTCAGAATCATCTTTCTGTCCTGGTTCCAGCCCTGGCAGTATCAGGGTTTGAGGAGACTGCTTCCCAGTAGCAGCAGGGGTTAAATACACTCTGATACCGTGTGGATGGTGTGGCTCATCAGTTAGGCAATCTGCTTGGAGAAGGCAGTCAACACAAACAGGCAAGTCTAGTTATGCTGAGCAGGAGTGTTTCTTGAAGAACAGGACTAAGCAGATACTGCTCCAAGGGGCAGGTGACACTCCTTAGGGGCAGGCAGCCTTGTCAGGGATCACAGAGATCTGAGGTCAACTGGGGTCAGGTAGGGAGGAGCAGACACCACGGGGCAGTCCACAACTGGGGCAGCCTCAGGCAACACACTTGTCTGGACACCTGAATGCCTCAAAACAATGTTTCTGATGCTGGTGAGCCTTTTGTCTCTCCTCTGCATGTAAGACCAGAAATTTCAGGTGTCAGTGTCTGTGTAGAGTTTGTAGAGCTCCTGCAATTCTTTATGGATCATAATCTATCCCTTTTGATGAGAAATGCCTTATACTGGCTAAAGAGAGCCCCGGCTTCTCAGAGAAAACCTGTTTGTGTCAGGACTGCCCCTCGGCCCTAGGCTTTCATAGGTCTCCCCACTCTTGGAGGCAGAGCTAGAAGCTTCCAGAGCCCCCACATACACATGGTCATAGTGCCACCTTTTCCTTTTTGCCTGGTGGTATTCTTATATGAATAAGGATTCCATTTCCCTTTGTTTTAGGTTCTTTCTCATTACCGAGGTTCACATTTCCTCAGCCATCTCCTCAAACCAGTGCTTCTCAAACTTGAGCACAAGGGCATCAGAATCAGCCAGGGGGGTTGTTAAACCACTGGGCCCCACGGGGGTTTTCTGCATTCAGGTCTGTGGGTATGGAATACGATCCAATAATTTGCGTTCCTAACAACTGCCCTGTGGTGCTGACCTTACTTCTGCAGAGACTACACCCCAAAGATTCCTGCAAGCCAGCTGCTGTCACTAGTGGTGGAAAGATGTCCTTGGTGGGAAAAGAAGAGTGATTCTAGCACAAACAAATTTGAAGTGCTTGATACTACACACACTTGAAAACGTTCTAAACTCATATTTACTCTGTCATTACTCAGTTTGGGGGCACAGTAACAAAATTAAGTCTCTCTTTTAAAATCTTCTTTGCTTTTCTCTTCTTCCAAAGGGGTGTCTGAAGATGAATCCAGATGACAGATTGACCTGTGCCCAGCTCCTGGAGAGCTCCTACTTTGATTCTTTTCAAGAGGACCAAATTAAAAGAAAAGCACGTAACGAGGGAAGAAATAGAAGGCGTCAGCAGGTACCTCCACTCAAAAGTTAAAGTGCTATAAAAATAAGTGTTCGTTTGTTTTTGTTTTTCTACCTTTCAGTGTGAGACTAGGCGGACACCAAGACTTTTCCTTTGTGCCGGTTTAGATGTATTTGTTTATCTTAATAAATATTGGTGATTGATGTAATAAAAACCATAGAGTTATGATTTACCACAGACTGTTGCAAAATCTTATT